CAGGAGCCCAGCTGGTTGGATGGGGCTTGGAGCAACCTGGTCTAGTGGAAGGTGTCCCTGACCCTGCAGGGTTTGGAACAGGATGGCCTTTAGGGTGACTTCTAACCCAAACCAGTGTGGGACGCTGTGATCCTGGCCAGATCCCCCAGCAGCGCGTGAGCACCAGCCCAGAGCAGCGTGTGCAGGCAGTGCCCGGCCTGGCCCTCACTCCTGGCTGGGGTTGGGCTTGATGATGCCATAAGCCACGGCCTGTGCCAGGCTCTCCTTGGCAGCCTGGGCCACGCGGGGCTTGTCCTTGTCCTTGGCAAGCACAGAGAGGATCTCCAGCATCTCGCTGGCCATGAGCTGCTCAGCCACCTCCTGATTGCCATCATGTTCATCACCACCACAGCCCCGCGGTGCTGCAGCTCGACACTGGGGCTCAGCAGCAGGGCCTGCAGGATCTCCAGCCAGTGCACTGTCTGTGGGGGACCGGGGCCACCCTCAGCACTGCACTGGGACGTAGCTCCAGGACAACAAGAAAGGAACAGGGGACGCTGGGTGCTGTCCTAGGGGTTCCCGGGTGCCCCCAACCCACCACTGGGTACTCACCACCTGGGGGATCCGCTTGCAGATGGGGGGGTGCAGGGCGGTCAGCATGGCCAGGGTCCCCGAGGCTGCTCGACGCAGCTTCTCGTCCTCCTCCCCGCTGTACAGCACCAGCAGCTTCAGCCGGTCACTGCCCTCGGCCAGGAACAGCTCCTGCACCTGCAGGGGGGAGGAAGAGGAAGTGGGGGAGCTGGTGGGGTGTGGGGGCCAGCAGCCCCACACAGACCCCCAGCCCAGTCCTCACCTCTTTGCTCATGGCCATGTTGCACATGCACTCTGTGGCAGCCAGCCGGATCAGCTCATGCTCCTCAAACATGTACCCCTCGATCATGGGCACAGCCTTCTCCTTCAGGATCTTCTGCCTGCAGCAGGGCTTGTGTGAGCAGCAGGGCAGCACCCCAGTGGGAAAAGACAGAGACCCCCACCCAGGCAAGTCCCTACCGCAGCCTCTCGCTGATGCCAGCCAAGTTGGTTAATGCCATCAGCCCCTCAAAGTTCTCCAGGCCTGTGCGCTGAAGGTGCAGAAGGCTCACCAGGGGACGGACCACCTCGTATATCTGTGGGCACAGCAGGGCAGGACTCAAAGCCCGAGCAAGGGACAGAAGGGGCTCTGTGCCCCTTAGCCTACAGCCCCAGGGCTGCCAAGGCCTTTCCTGGTGGGCCAGGAGGAGCTGAAGCCCACCCTGTCCCAGATGGTGCACAGAGCCAGAGACAGCCCCTGCCAGGGCAGCCCCTCCTCATGCTGCATAGCTAGAGCAGGCACAGGCTGGGGGCTCCCAGCCCAACCCCAGCTGCCTGTGTGGGGCCCTGTCCCCCAGCCCACGAAGGTGACACTCACTCGCTCTCCAGGGAAGGCCATCTCTGGGTTGGAGGTGATGGTGATCTTTGCCAGGGCCTGGGCTGCCTTGGTCTGCCCCACCTCAGTGCCCTCCAAGGACAGTGGGATGAGAGCCTGCAGCCAGAGACACAGCAGCTGGGTCACAGCAGCCCCTGTTTCCCCAAGGTTCATGTGGGAGGGAGCTGGCATGGTCCCTGCCCAGTCACAGCCACCCCTCGAGCCCCCAGTGTGGCACAGTCCCCTCACCTTGCCTCCTCCCTGTGCAACCACACCGCCCCGGTCCTCTGCCTCCTCAACCAGCGCCAGGAACACCCTAGGGACAAGACAGAGTTGGAGACTTGCCACAGCACATCCCAACAACTCCCAGACACACACAGCAGGTTGCACCCGGCTCCTGACATCCCCCATCTCCTCCTGGGAGCTGCCGTGCACCCAGGCCGGCCGTCAGCCCCGCTCCCTCCCAGCACGCCCATACCTGGAGATCAGCTCCCGGCAGGAGCTGGTGAGCGCCGGGTTCTCGCTCCTCACCATGCAGGACAGGGCAGACACCACCCCTGCCGCCAGCAGCTTCCGCACACGGCGCCTCACGAAGTCCGGCTTGTCCTGTCTCAGGGACAAGGTCACTGCTCGGCTTGGTGGCACCAGCCACCCATTGCCACATCACCAACCTCACCCCCGAGGGCCCCAAGGACCGCCTGGGCTCTGCCCACCCATGTGCTCTCCTGGTGGCTCCCAGGGACAACCGAGCCCCCTCACCTTCGGGTGCTGCTCAGGAATGTGCTGCTTGGCATACTTGGCCAGCTCCAGCATCTGGGGGTCTGGCTCCTCATGGTCGTAGCTGTTGGTGCAATTCACGAGCGTGGAGGCGACGGCATAGAGCACACTCCTGTCCTCTGACTGCAGTGAGGATGAGACACCATTGCACCCAGGATGGAGAGGACAGCCCAACCAGCACCACCAGCCCTGTCTACAGCCTCCAGCTCTGCAGCATGAGCCCCACAACCCCCTCGGCAGATCTCCCCAGTGCCACAGTGCCCACCGCAGGGCTCAGCACCCACCTTGGCCAGTTGGAACATGGCCTGCATGGCTGCCTTGTCCTCCACAAACTCCTCCTTGACATCTGCGTCGAAGGTGAGGTAGGCCAGGCCCTCCACAGCCCAACGCCGCGTGCCCGCGTCGATGGCCTCATTGCAGAGCCACCTGGGAGAGGGGCGGGTGAGCCTGGCTGCGGGGGGCTCCCTGCCCACACCCCCCCACCAGCACACACTTGCGGCACTGCTTGGCCAGCTTCATGGTGGAGCCCTCGGCGAACTGCTTCATGCTGAAGTCGGTGCCTCCAGCGGAGCCCAGCTTGCAGAGCCCCTGCACCAGGAGCCGCATCAGGGCAGGGGCAGCCACAGTCACCCCAGTAGGAAGGGGACAGCACAGGAGACACCCCCCCCCAGCTCACCACCAGGGCGCGGATGCGGATGCTGTCCCTGTCGCTGTGCTTGTAGATGTCCTTCAGCAGGGAGACGCCGTTGGCCGTGATGAAAGAGGCGCGCTTGGCCTTGTCGGCCGCGTGGATCAGCGCCTCCACCGCCACCAGCTGGTGCGCCTCCCGCACCGAGGCGCAGAGGGACAGCACGCTGTCCATGATCCCCTCCAGCTCCAGAACCCTGTTCCCAGCGTCCGAGGGGCCCTGCAGCAGGCAGGACACCGCCTGGATGGCCCGCAGCTTCCCAGACAGCTCCTGCCCCTCAAACCAGCTCCTGCAAGGGAAGACCACCCAGAAGGAGACGGCTGCTTCCACCCGCAGCCCCACCTGCTGCACCCTGGCACGGCAGGTCTCCAGAGGGTCTGCAACCTGCTTTTATCACCAAGAGCAAAAAGCTCTGCAGATAGGGGCGGCTGCATCTTCCCCAGATGACTGCTGGCTGTACCAGACTAAGATCAATGTCCCCAGGAGCACCCGGGCTCACCTCACGTAGTCCTCACACAGGTGGTGGAAGTTCTCCCTCTCAGCATCACACTTCAGGTCATCATACAGCTTGCTGAGCAGGACTGAGGCGCTCATCCGGCTGTTCTCTGTCACGGGCAGGCTGCCTGGGGTGCCACACACTGTACTTCCCACCTCCAGGATCTTCTTCAGGCCTAGGAGGACATGGAGATCCGGTGAAGAGCAATATGGAGTGCACAGAGGAGCTGAGGTGTGGCATCCTGAGGCAGATGCCCCAGCGGGATGCCACAGGCTGTCCTGCTCACCTTGGTCAATCACCCAGAGGCTCAGGCTGTTGCTGGGCTCCTTCGGTGACTTCCTGGGCACCACCTTGATGAGCAGGTTGAGTGCGTTGTCACGGCCATGGGCAGAGGCTCCTTCCAGCTCCAGCAGCTCCAGGAGGTGCTTGATCAGTAGTTTCAGGTCTTTGGAAGTATCTTTCAGAAGAGCCAGTGCCCAGCAGTCAGTGCTCTGGCCAGTGGCTTCACCTCCACTGTGGTCAGGAGATGCTGCCATGACCAGGAGCTGCTGCCTCCCTGCTCACCCTGTGATAACCCTGGACCTCCCAGCTCTGGGGCAGGCAGTGGGTGGGCCGTGGGAGCAGAACCCACTGCAGCTCAGCCCTGCCCACCCCAGGGCACTCACCCAGCACCACGGCATCCTCCTTGCCACGGAAGTCCTTCTGCAGCCCCTCCTTCAAGGACTCAAACATGGTGTGCAGGAGGTTGCAGGCTGCCAGGGAAACCTGCTCGTGCTCCACGCCCAGCACCGCCGAGAGACGTGGGGCCTCCAGCTCCGCCAGGATGGCTGTGGTCTGGGGTACAAGCACAGCCATCTGCTGGAGGCACCAGGGAAGCCCTGGCACTCCCCAGCCCCTCATCAGGATGTTCCCTGTTATGAGGTTCTTGCTCAGCTCTGAGCTGCTCTGCCTAGCCAGGCTGCAGCCAGCCGAGGCCAGCGACACACCCTGCCCCACGCCTCTGCGGCCCAGCATTGGTTTCCCTGGATCAGATCCTCTCCCACGGGAGAGCTGGGCAACAGCAGGACCTACCCGCGAGCGGTGGCCGGAGCACAGCCCCACAGGGGTGCGCGGGCCTGCCAGCATCAGGTCGGCCTGGGCCGTGTCCAGCAGCTGCGCCAGCAGCCGCACACCGTCGCTTTGGAAGATCTTCTCTGCTCCAGCCTCCTCCCGAGCCAGCACGATCAGGTTCTGTGCAGCCTGGAGAAGGAGGGCAGTGCCTGGGTCACCTGCCCAGCAGAACGCAGCTCACCCTGCACAGGAACCTCCAAAGCAGCAGCCAGGCTGCCTCAGGCACCCCCACCCCCTGGGGAGCTACAGGAGGCCCGGCCAGGGAACACCCACCCAACCCTCCCCACCTCCCAGCTGACCCTGCCACCCTCTGCTCCCAGAGCTCAGACCTTTTGCTTCTTGTCCACATCCTTTTCTTCAGGATCCAGCAAGATCTGGAACATCTGCTCCACCTTTGAGTCCGTGCAGGACATGGTCTTCATCTGAAACAGAGCAGACAGAGCAACTCAGCCCTTCCACCTCCCTGCAGTCAGCACACCCCGGGTGGCACGACAGCCCCTGTCCCGTGCTGCCCCCTGTCACCTTCTCGTGCATGGTGCTCCCCAGGGCACGCAGGGCCTCCTGGAAGGCCTTGTTCCGGGGCTCCAGGCTGACGCAGCGCTGCAGGTCTCCCACAGCCTGGTCCAGGCGTCCCAGCCGCCGC